AGAGAGCATTCAGAGTTTACGACCCAGGTTCTGATACTGTGCCCTAATAGGTGGGAGTGGGATACAGGGAAGGTTCCCAGTAATGAAAGCCTCATCAGATGCTAAGTGTGAAGCAAGAGATTTTCATCCGTGTGCTAACATCCATGAGTTACATGAACCAGCTGGGTCAGGCTCTGTCCCAGCGCTATCCACTGGCTCCAAAATACAAACACGACACGTTCCAGTAAGACCGCCAGAGCATTCCTGACTGAAGGGTATGTCCTTGCCATGCTATTTAAAGGCATGCATGCTACCCTTTATTTGTCCATATATGTTGGCTGGAAGAGGCTTGAGCCTTGCACTTAGCTCAGAGAACACAAGAATTGGCCACCCATTAGGGAAATTTCTATTCTTGATCTTATCCTTCTCTTCCTTTCTACTGCTGTTTCCAAACTGCAGAGAAATATACAGTATTGCATAGCTGAATTAACATAACATTCACTACATAGATGAAGTCACCAAAAGGTATGTACTGCCACACTTAGAGTCCTAGTGTCATGTCACTTAAAATACTGTGGATTGTACTGATGCTCTCCCAAATTATGTTCAATCCATCCCCAGCTCCTGTGATGACTTTTCTAGGATTCCCAGGTTGGAATCAAGATAGCTGTTAACAGATGAAGTAGCTTGAACTTTTCCAGATGGTCTTTTCCTTCTTTCAGCAACCTTCTTCCAGTTGGTGTAGCATCTGCTGCTCAATACCAAAGAAGGGAAGTCAAACCCAACCTGGCTGAAGGGTGACATCGTTCAAAGTAAAGATTAGCCGTTCCTGGCCTGAGAAAATAGTTCTCAAAGTGTGGATTGGACCAGATGGTTGCTAGTTTGTTCCCTGGTTTCTCATTAAAAGATTCTGGTCAGTCCAGCTATCAGTGTGACTTGTTCTTTTAAAGGCCTCCTTCTTTTCCCTAGCATGTGGCCCCTGATTGTTTTGGCTTCCCATAACTGTCTTGAGACTTCATGGCTAGTGAGGTAATAAACTTATGCTTGGTCTACACCACTTCAGTCCAGAGGAAGGTATTTATATGATTGTATGGTTCTTCACACAAAAATGAATACATGAATAATCTTGTCATAGAAAAATGTATCCAGCAGGAAGAAAACCAGGCTGTGCAACCACTCTCTTCCTAACATGCTGGCTTCCTGGGCTGACTATTTTGCTTTTAAAAGTGGAATACTCTGCCACCGGCCTCCCCACTTCCAACCTGAAGTGGTATAGCCTGGGCAAAAGTTGGCTACTCCCCAGTGTGAGCAAATGCATGGTTTACACAAATGCAACTCGTGGATATTTATAATTTCAATAATCCTATTTATTTTTTTAAATGTTTAATCTTGAAACTCAAAAATATTAAATCTCCAAAGTATTGGATAGAAATTCTTGAACCTGTGGTTCTGGAGGGCACCAGCTTGGGGAAGATTGCTTATATAGCCCATGGTATAGTCCAAGCCATCTTCAACTGAAACACACGATGTGACAGTGGAAGCAGCAGCTGTGGGGGGGGGGGGGGGGGTGCAGGTGCATGCAAGAGATCTGGATGCAGATGCTCCATAATAACAAATGGACACAATAACTTAAATCCTTTACTTGCTATGCTGCCCCTATAGGGAAACAAATATGAAACTCTGGTGTCACTTACACTTTGGCAGTCCTACTGTTGCCTGTTGCAGACCTCAAAGTTGCACATGCCTATCAAGTCCAAGTATCTTTTTGACATTGGGAGCAATAGACTTATCCTTGAAACTGGCATATCATATCAAGTATGTCACAAATGACAACTCATCATTCAGGTTGGCAGTTGAAATGGCCAGACTGTCCTGATCTGAATCTTGCTGTGGTATAGAGCCTCATAGACTGACATTTTGCATCCCAAAAGGGAACTCTGAGCCTTCCTTATTCTGAAACTTGTATGCAGATTCAGTATGGTCTATACACAACTTTGGCAAATTCTGGATATGTGGACTTCAATGATGAGAATTCCCTGTTCAGTATGGGCATTGCTGAGAATTCTGGGAGATGACTTCTGATTGATGGATTGACTTCTACACATCTGTACATTACTATGGTTGGAATTCACTGGTCTAGGATTATATGAGAATAACTTGGTAACATGCCTAGCCTACTTCAGCTATACAGGGATACATGGAAGAGAACAGGTGTGCAAAGTCTATGTTCACTCCAACCTGATGATATTTACTTGAAAATATCTACCCTGTAGCTGCATATATGCACTTTCTGTGTTCCCCAACACTCCCACCCCACCCGTGTACTAGTTTCTTTGCTGCTATCCTGAAATTTGGGACTGCAACTCCCAGAGAGTTGAGATGATGGGAAATGTAGTCCAACCCATGTAGAGGGTGTGAAATTGAGAAACATACAATTGTATCCTTGGTGTCCTCCATGGTAAACAAACATGATGTCATTGCCAACTGTTCAAAGTATTCTGAAAAGCAATGCACTAGAACAACTAGTCAAGAAGGCCAGCATTTGGGAAACAAGACAGTAAATATTAAATGTTGCTTTTAATGTCTACATTCTATTCATTTCTATCCAAAATATAAGGGGATATTCAAGTTCTAGTACTGCCTGGTATTCTTAAGAGACAAATGGGGTAAGTAAGCCATCTGGTGGTAAAACAGGGGCTCTCCAGCCATGTAACATTGTAAAGTAAGATGTTATTGCCAGGCACATATTCAGCACAAGAAACATGAGATCACACCTGAGCAGTCTGAAAACCATCTTTAAGCAGAGAATCAATACTGTTTATTTCTTTCACAGTTAATGTAATGCACATACACCGTTATTATAAATATAGAGCCTGAAATAGAAATTTCTGGTCTCATTATTTTTGGTGTTCAATTTTTGGACGTTAAGACAAAGTTCAAAGCAGGTCAGTCAGTTGGTTTTGGTAGTGAATGAATCTAACAATGTCATAGGAAATTTCCACAGATTGCAGTATGTGTGCAATGCCATTTCTCAGACACAGGTAAGCGCCCAATATATAATGTTCAAGTTATATCGTCACGATAGTTCAAGTTATTAACTCTAAAGATGAGAGCTGACCCAAACAACCTTACTCTTGCAAAGTTCACACAAACAAAGCAGCAGCTATTTTGAAGTTTTAAATGCTACAGTATTGTTTTTTTAAAAAGGAAAGGGAATTTGGGGGTATAAGATCTCCTCTTAGCCTTCATCCTTCTAACCTCTCATACTACAAAGAGTCTACTGCACCTGCATCAGGATGTACAATGAGAATCCAGACACAAATGTGTTCTGTTAAGAGTCAGTTACAACATAATGTTACCCATTCATTTTATTCTCCATCTCACCATAAAATGCTGAATGTCAAAGAGCAAACCCACGGATTTTTCAGGAGCTACACTTGAAAACATCTAGTTACATTTTTAAACGGTATAAGTTGTCTTATCAGTCACACACAGAAGCATTTATAATCTAAATGTTTCATATCACCCTGAGCCTTCAGATGAGTTTATGCATTCATCTTCTATGCTGATGCCAAAAGTATTTTGATGTGATTACAGGTACATGGATGTGGGAAGATAAGCAGAGTCTCTGATGGAGGGCACTGAAAAATTGCATTATGCCTCATGTTAATCTCACAGACACAACTACCCCTCATTGTAAAGTCTGTTTTCACTGGAAATCAATCTTTGGAGCTGCAGTTCTTCTCATTATTTTTAGTCTATAGTTTTTTAAGGGGGAGGAAATATTTTTAATAAGAAAGTATTAGTTGACAATAAGTTTCGGTATACCATCTTTTTCATTGTCTTGAGAAGGACCTCACACTGTTTTTCATATGCACATTTTCTTGTTCTTTTTTGAGAAAAGTAAAAACAAATCATGTTCTAATAGTTTATGCATACAAATTTAGTCTTCAGTGTACCTGTCAGTTTACTTCTACAACTCTAGTAATATTTTGTCATCCCACATTTTCACCTGAAAGTTGGCAACATCCACTTCATGCCAAAAAATAAAGCTTTCACATTTTCTTTGCTCTTCAATATTCTTTTAGCTGAATATGCTTCCAATATTTCACAATGCAATTGTGCTAGAGCAATGCTGCGTATTCCATATGGTGGGATCTTCTAGCATCTTCTAGAGTTTTCTAACCATCCTTGTGCCAATACAACAACAATAAGAATATCACCTCAATGAAGGCAAGGTGATAGTCACTAGTGGGGTGATTCTACTTAAAGCAATTATTTATTTGTTAGATTTATGTACTACCTTTTTCTAGGAACTAAAAGCCTTTTCTAGGCTTACATAACACTTATTTTTTTCTTTTTCCCATTAGCAAAAACCCTGTGAAGTAGGTTGGGATACAAGAGAGTAACTGGCTGAAAATCAGCCACTGAGTTTCCATGGCTGAGGATGGACTCAACCCTGTCTCTCTCTGGTCCTAGTCCAACACTTTATCCACTATACCATACCGCAGCCATTTTGTCTAGTTTACTGAGATTGATATATTACTGAAGGGAACAACTGGGTTTAGTAATCTGGGAGTTGGACCATGCATCATTAGAAAATGCTGAGTTGGTTTCTTTAGCTATTTCTTCACTATCATAAAACCAAAAGGAGAACATTATGTCAGTGAAAGAAGAATGGGGCTTCAACTGGCCTATTGCTCAGAGCTTCTTTGTTGTGGTGAGCTGCTAAACTGATTGAGATGGATATTCTGGAATGAATTAGGAAGAGACCCATTCCCCTTCTAAGCCCTTATTGCACTAAGCACTATTACACTTTGGTGGTCCTACGGAAACCTTTGGTTTGAGACCATGCATTGATCTAATACAGGTAGTCCTCATTTAGTGACTGCCTCATTTAGCAATTGTTCACAGTTACACTGTGGTGAAAAAGTAACTTTATGACCAATCCTCACATTTACGACCTTCGCAGATCTGTAAAGCAAAGGAAAGCTGAAGTAAGACCGTAAGCAGAGTTATGGTTTCACTTAGCAACTGCATAACTTAACAACCGAGTTGCCAGTCCCAATTGTGGTTGCTAAATGAGGACTATCTGTAACACTAATGGTGTAGAGATCTTCCTAGATTATTACCTTTTTTCCCAATATTTGGAAAATCCCTTGTCAGCCTTAGATCAAGAAATAGCATTACAATTATAAGTAGCTTATTATATACCTATACTCCTTCATATTTTTTCAATAAATACATGGCACGAATTCATTCCTGAAACATGAACATTCATTCATTCCACAGGCCTCCTGGCCTCATCATCTGCCTCTTTGTCCACTGAATGTCACGGAAGAAAGGGAAAGAGACAGGCAATGAAGACATAGCTGCCTTCTAAACCAAGCATCACTTAACAGGTGCATTTACTGAGCTGGAAATGGATAAACAGGTGAAACCCATCCAGGTGGTTGTGGGGCTGACACCATCATCAGGTAGCTAGAAGGCACATAGCCCCTCTGTCCATTCACTTCCACTAAGTACCATTCTTTGCTTCCCTTCTTATCATGAGGTTCCAACACAGTCACTGATTGGCCTGCTTGCAGACTGACTTCCTGATTGCTCCTAGCTGTGAATGCATAAGCAGCTATCACCTAAGAAAAACAGAGATGCAGTTATAATACTGGATATGATACAGACAAAGAAAATAAAGATGGCAAAACATCTTGAAGAAGTAGAGGTTTATTCTGAAAGTGATGGCACAGTGGCAATACACAGAGACAGAACCAGTGCCTGTATTTGTCGAGTTGTAGAAGACACAAACGAGTTACCTCTTTTCTAGTCCAAAGAAACAAGAACTTTTGATTGTCAATTGCCAGCCTGCAGAAAGTGGAAAGCTTGAAGCTGGTGAGGCAGAAATCTCTCATTCCCACACCAGAGAAAGACATTTTACAAATAACAGACAGGAGGCAGAATCTTTCAAATCCAGGAGACAAGTAGTGAAACAAAAAGGGGAGAGGAAGAACCCAGAATTCAAACCTTAAGACTAACATATATAAAGAGCCTGGTTTCTCCTGGGTATTGTTAGATGAATTTCTTGCCTGTATGGCTTCCTAATTCTCTGCAGTACATCTACTTATGTAACCTTGTTGAGTCTGTGTGATGAATGCTGAGCAGTAAGAGGCATGAATGAAAAGAAAAGAAATGGAAGAAGTGACAGGCATAAAGAATTATAAATTATTCAGCTCAGTTCTTGATTGTATGTAAGCTAACAGAAAACCTAAAGTAAATGTCAAGAGTACTTGAGCCTTGAAATGCTGTTTTCAGTGGTCTCCTAGCACCATCCTAGAAGTACAGGAAGGGAAACATAATTCCCCTCTCCCCACTAAAGAAGTCTTTGCAGATCCATACAGTACAAAGACAGATCTTCAGTATGCTGAGAATCTAGCTTGGCTCTGTCCATGTCCCCTCTGAGATTGAGCATTGCCCACATTGGAAAGTGCTAGCCTGGGAGGTTGGTGGGGATGAAACCTTATGAAAAAGGGCTCTCAGTTTCTCTCATCTTTATTTCCTTACATTTGGAAGCCAAAGGGATGACAAGGAAACTGATGTTCATG